CTCCCTCCCTCCCTCCCTCCCTTTCTCTCTTTCTGCCCTTGGTCTGCCAGTCCTCTTCCCCCACTATTTCTCTCTCTCTCTCTTTCCTCTCTCTCTCTTTCCCTCCCTCTTTCTCTCTCCCTCTCTTTCTCTCTCTCTTTCTCTCTTTCTTCCCCCCCCTCTCCCTCTCTCCAATCTTCTGATCACCTGGCAAGCTGGCTTCAAGCTGTTCTCCAACAAGCTCAGGGGTAGGCAACCTCGGCTCTTTTATGACTCATGGACTTCAATTCCCAGAATTCCTGAGTCAGCATAGCTGAGCTAGCTAGCTCTCTCCTGCCCTGCCTCTTCCTGCTTCCTACAGAGACGCAGGAAAGGGAGGAGCCCCGCCCAAAAAGCTTTTCAGCTTGTCGGAAAACACTGTGAGTCTACTCTCTTTTTTTACACACACACACACACACACAGAGAGAGAGAGAGAGAGAGACAGACAGACAGACAGACAGACAGAGACAGAGACAGAAGCAGGGAAGCGCAAGTGCCTCTCTCTGTCTCTGTCTCTCTCTGCAAATGGCAGAGGAGGCTGGGAGCCACAGGGGAAGGCTCAAAGAGCCGCATGCGGCTCCGGAGCCGCAGGTTGCCGACCTGTGTTCTAGTACATATTAAGGATGTAAAAGTAGAAGGCCGAGGCTGTAATGTTATCATTTTATTCGACTGCACTAAAGAGTCAGAAGTCAATGATTTTCCTTTTTCCCCTTTCCCCTATACTTCTTTCTCTTCCCTTCCCCCCAGTTCCTATTATTTTCATATTTTTTGGTATTTTATATCTTGATAAGCTTAATAAAATTATTAAAAGGAAAGAATAGTTTGAACATATTGTTTATTATATCCAACTCCTTCTGGACCCCCAAGAGGAAGTCCTCTCACCTGCCAGTCAGTCTTCTGCTCCTCCGCCTGGCTCAGGAGGAAGCCTTCCACCAGGGCCACCGCCTGGGAGCTGGTCTCTGCTCCACACTCCCGCACCCAGCTCTCCATCTCCAGGGGCAGAAGGGCCAGGAACTGCTCCAGAACAACCAGGTCCAACATCTGCGCTTTTGTGTGCTTTTCTGGTCTCAACCATTGGCTAGAATAGTAGTGCAGTTGGCTGCAAAGTCCTCGGTGACCTTCATCCTCCTGATACTGGATGCTCCTAAAGTTCCAGGACTGAACTTGTGAAACGAGGGTTCCATCGTCCAGGATCTTCTGCCCAGTTCTTGCCCAGATCTCCTTACCGATTCCAGACTGAACACTGGAAGGGCCTTTTCCAATTCCCCCACTTGCTAAAGAAAGGCTTGCCATTCTTTCTCCGTCCTGTAACACAAATCCAAATGAGTTCAAGGAAACCAAATTATTTTTTATTCATAGCAATGTGCACTTAGCCATGGGAATCAGAACAAGCCATTAACCCTCTTTGCCAAAGAGATAAATTTGTCTCTAAAGAACATGAACAAATGACCTCCTTTTGCAATTCTCTGATAGAAAATAAATTCAAACAACTCAAAAGTAGTGGATTGGATCATTCATCGACACTCATCCCCATAGAAGGAAGTATTTTTCTGACCTGGTAAACTGAAGACTTCAATAAGAAGATTCAGTGTATTTGATATTTTGGATCATTTCTATTTTTTTTACTCACAAGGAAAGACTTGCTTTTTAAAAATATAGATCTACAGCAGGGGTGTCAAACTCAATTTCATTGAGGGCCGCATCAGCATTGCGGTTGCCCTCAGGGGGGTGGGTGGGTGTGGCCAGGGTGGGTGCGGCCTACTGGGTGGAAGTGGATAAAGTGGGTGTGGCCTACTGGGTGGGTGTGGTCAGCTCTACATCGTTTGGGTCAAGGATGCCTGTGGGGGCCTGGGCAGGAGTGGGATAGATCTGAGGGTCTCTGGCAGAAGGGGGTGGGACTGGGGCAAGTGCCAAGGCATGGTCCACTGGAGGAGCCTCACTGTTCCTCTCAGGCCATGCGGGGGGGCGGCTTATGGAGCTAAGACATTGTACAAAAATTGTACATTGGCTCCCAGCTGGCCTGGGCCAGGGCCAAGGCAGAGGGGGCCGTTCCCTCACTGTTTCCAGGATAGCTTCGCGAGCCACATTAAAACCACTTCGCCGGCCGCATCCGGCTCCCGGGCCTTGTGTTTGACATGTCTGATCTACAGGGTTCACACAGCATACAAAAATTCAGAACAAGTTAACAAAGCATGAACATTCAGTTCACAAAAAATGTAATGCCATTCAATTGACTCTGGCTTAGGATGCTCCATTTCTCTTCCTTCCTTCACACAGGCAGGCAGGTTCACACAATGTGTCCTAAGCACAAAAAAGTCAATCAGATCTAGGGGCTCAGTTCATATGAAACACAAAGGCTTAAATGCACAAAGCTTAACGTAATGATCTGGTTCACTATCCTCCTAAGACAAATTGAGCTGCAGAGGAGCCAAACTTAGTTTATTGTCATCCAGCACAGAGTGAGAACGAGGCATAATCTTTTGTATCTCTTCTTTTCAAACCTTATTTCCTCCTTGAGATTTGCCATGCAAGCTCTCCCCCTACCCAGGAGCTTTTCCCAGGAAATGGGGCGTGAAGGACTATCCAGGTCCCTCCTTTCCTTTCTGGCCTCTGGATTTCTTCCTGAGGGCAACATGCGTGGTCTAGACTAGCTCTGCTTTGTTCCCTGCCTGTTACAATCATGGAAAAGGACAGCCAGGAGATATGGGATCTGGGGGTCTCCCACTCCTAAGATTGAACCTGGATGAGGACTTGGCATATGCCACTTCTTTCCTTCTCTAGTGCAAGAACTGTCTGCCTCTCTTTGTATGGGAAGAAACCCCCTCCCCCAAACCACACACACACCTTTGTCATCCGTGGCTCTTTCCTTCAAGACTTTCTTGCAGCCTTTTTAACCGC